TTCCAGGCTGAAGCTCAAACTATTGAGCTATGTCTGCAAGGGCCTAATTTATATTTTAAATCTAGATAATTTCTGATAGATTCAGTTGTATTAGTTCTTTATACATTTTGATGTAGTCTCATTTATTTACTTTTTCTTTTGTTTCCCTTGCCTGCGGAGAAATATCAGAAAAAAGAAGAGTAATATTTTACTGCCTATGTTTTCTTCTAGGAGTTTTTATGGTTTCAAATCTTTTCTAAAAATTGATTTTATATATAAAGAGAAACATCAATTTGCTGATTCATTTATTTATGTATTAATTGGTTGCTTCTTGTATATGCTCCAACCAGGATTTGGACCCACAATCTTGGCATATTGGGATCATATTCTAACTACCAGGTTGCGAGTCTTAATATTTAAGTCTTTAATCTGTTTTGAGTTTTTTATTGTATGTGGTGTAAGAAGATGGTCCAGTTTTATTTTTTTGCACGTCTTTCTAATGTTTTCAATACTCTTTATTGATATAGTCTGTCTTTACCCCATTGTATGTTCTCATCTCCATTATCAAATGTGAAATGACCATATAGATGTGGGCTTATTTCTAGACTTTCTATTCTCTTCCATTGATCTATGTGTCTTTTTATGCCAGTACCAGTACTATGGCCTTACAATATAGCTTGATATCAGGTAGCATGATATCTCCAACTCTGTTGTTCTTTATCAAAATTGCTGCAGTTTTTGGGGGTCTATTGTGGCTTTTTATGTATTTTTTGGATTATGCTAGTTTTGTGAATTATGCCAATTAGTATTTTGATAGGAATTGCATTTACTCTATAGTTTGCTACAAATGTTTTTGAAATAAGGCAAAGAGGGGTGCCTTTAGAAAAAAATTAATGATCATGGCCCTGGCTCATGTCGCTCATTGGTTGGGATGTTGTCCTGTACACTGACATGTGGTTCAGATCCCTGTGAGGGCACATATCCTGGTTGTGAGTTTTATCCCTGGTCAGGGTGCCTGTGAGAGGCAGCCAATTGAAGTTTCTCTCTCACATTGCTGTTTCTGTCTCTAAATAAAGACATATTAAAAAATATATATATACATTTATTGAGTATGGGGGTGGGGGGAGATAGAGAGAGAAGAAGAGAGAAACAGAACTTTGATTTGTTGTTTTCACTTATTTATGCATTCACTGGTTGATTCTTGTATGTGCCCTAGCTGGGGATTGAATTCAAAACTTTGGTGCATTGGAATGACATTCTAACCAACTGAGTCATCCAGCCAAGGTGTAGAGGGCTGCCTTTTCATAACCCAGTTTTTCCAGGATTCAAACTTCAGCTACAATCTGTAATTATTGGTAAGAAAAATAAAATACTTATTCATCATTTGCCATATGCCAGACACTGTTCTGAGTACCTTATGATTTATTTAATCCTCATAGTAAGCCAGGGAGATATACAATAGGTAATATTAATATTCCATGTCATGGAAGCAGAGGAATAACATATTCATATCAAACTAAAAAGTTATTGCACAGCAAAAGAAACCATTAACAAAATGAAAAGACAACAAACAAAAAAACAAACAAAAACAATTAGCCCTAACCGGTTTGGCTCAGCCTGTGGACTCAAGGGTCCCAGGTTCGATTCTGGTCAAGGGCATGTACGTTGGTTACAGGCACATATCCAGTAGGGAGTGTGCAGGAGGCAGCTAATCGATTATTCTCTCTCATCGATGTTTCTAACTCTCTATCCCTCTCTCTTCCTTTCTATAAAAAAAAAATCAATAAAACATATATTTTTTATTTTATTTTTTTGAATTTTTTAAAGAGTTTATTTGAGCTTTACTGTTGACATACGCCGGGAAGCAGAACCTCAACGGATTGAGATAATGCTCCCAAAATATATATTTTTTAAAATATTAAAATAAAAACAAGACAAACCACTGAATGGGAGAACATATTCCCCAATGACACATCTAAAAGGAGTTGATATTCAAAATGTATAAAGAATACAACTGAATCCCATCAAAAATTATCTAGATTTAAAATATAAATTAGGCCCTGGCAGACATAGCTCAATAGTTTGAGCTTTAGCCTGGGAACCGAAGGATCTTGGGTTTGATTCCTGGTCAAGAGTATGTACTGGGTTTCAGGTTTGTTTTCCAGCCCAAGTCAGGATACATGCAGGAGGCAACAAATCAGTGTATCATTCTCACATCAATGTTTATCTCCTTCTCCTCTCCCTACCTCTCCACCCCCCTCCTCCCACCCTCCCTAAAAAAACCATTAGAGCCCTGGCTGGTTTGGCTCAGTGGATAGAGGAGCGTTTGGCCTGTGGACTGCAAGGTCCCAGGTTTGATTCCCAGGCAAGGCACATGTAGGAGGTGTACATGAGGTAGCCGATCAATAATTCTTCTCATCATTGATATTTCTTATCTATATCTCCCTCTCCCTTCCTCTCTGAAATCAATAAAAATATGTTTTTTTAAAAATCATTAGAAAAAAATATCCTCTGGTGAGGATTAACAATATATATAATATATGTAACAATATAATACATATACGTTAGGCAAAGTAGGATACAAAATTAATACTCAGAAACCAATGGCATTTTTATACACCAATAATTAACTCTAAAAAAAAAAAAAAAAAAAAAAAAACCTTAAAAAAAAAAGGCAATCCCATTTATCATTGGGAGGTATCAGGCCTGTAAGAGAGGGCAGTTGTAGGCAATCAGGCCAGCAGGGTAGGGCAGTTGGGAGGGACCAGGCCTGCAAGGGAGGACAATTGGGGCGATGAAACCTGCAGGGGAGGGCAGATAGGGGTGACCAAGCCAGCAGAGGAGGGAAGTTAGGGGGGACCCAGGCCTGCAGGGGAGCAGTTTGAGGGGGGACCAGGTCTGCAGAGGAGGACAGTTAGAGGCAAAAAGGCTGGCAGGAGAGCAGTTAGACATCAATCAGACTGGCAGGGGAGTGGTTAGGGGGAGATCAAGCTGGAAGGCAGAAGCGGTTAGGGGCAATCAGGAAGGCAGGCAGGCAAGCAGTTGGGAGCTAGCAGTCCTGGATTGTGAGAGGGGTCCCAGATTAGAGAGGGTGCAGGCTGGGCTGAAAGACACCCTCTCCCCCCCTCCCCCCCTTGCACAAATTTCGTACACTGGGCTTGTAGTACTACATAAAAAAATTATGACAAAAACATAGAATATATTAGTTTAAAAAGGCAACATAACAGGTGATGTCAGAGGGCGCATCTATCCTCTCCCCTTAACATTTTAACAAAAAAACCCACCTATAATTCAAGAAAGTCCCAGCTCAAAACAGATGCATACCTGAGAGACCTGCACACTGGGACAACTAAGATGGGCTCCTTGGAATAAACAGGGAGACTAGAGAAGGGAGAGAAGCTGAACACGGCTACAGGGCAGCAAACATGTCTGCAGACAAAAGTGATTATAGGAATTTTCCTCAGCTGGTATGAACCAACAGGGAGCTAACCCAGCAAGTGGCTGGCTGTGGGAATGAGTGGCGGTATTGTGTGGTTAAGCACACAAACAGTGAGAGAGTGCCTGAACCATGGGGGCACCTTGTGAAAGGGGTCTGAGTTACATGTATGAGCTGTGAGTCAGCAGACATCCTCCCTACAACATTGCTCCCCACGATTGGGCCTGGCTGCCAGCTTTCAGGCAAAGAAAGCAGATCCCAGGGCCCTGCCACTGATTAGACTCCCAGGTCTCACCTCATGTTGCCCTTAGATTGTTTCCAGGAGTGTGCTGTGTGTAGGCCAATAGCTGCTGCAGTAGAAACAGATCTCCCCACCATTACCCCCGCCCCGTGACTGAAGAAGGGGTGCTTAGTTTAGACCCTTGGAGGTCAAGGACTGCCATTACTGTGAGGGTAAAACAAGCCTCACCCCAAGCAGCAGAGGCGGTACAGCTCTACGGAAGCCACAGAGGGGAAAAAAAATCTTGCAATTCAGCACCATTGACTGGAAAAGAGTAGAAAGACCTCCTCAGAGATAAATGAGAAAACAAAGAACAACTAATACCACGAACAACCACCACAACAACGACCAGAAAGAAAAAAATCCCCAGAAAACAGACTGGAATACACGGGATTTATACAAGTTGAATGACAGAGATTTCAAGATTACAGTTCTGAAAATGCTCAATAAGATGAGAGAAAATAAAAAAGCAACACAGTCATTCTACTTTCTTGTTCAGAAAGACTTTCTGAGTCCATGTGAATGGGATATTCTGAGTACACTGGAACGTGGAATTAATGGTTCTAACGGCACTAATTAAAATGAAATGTTATCTATCATAATGGAAAATCACAGTAGAAAACTGACAAAATTATTTTGATTACTTAAATATATGAAGGATTTACTACAAAAAATACATACATTGCTATTTTGGATCTAAATTGTTACATGAATCACAAGAATATACTTTTAATGAGTCAAGTTTTAAATAAGCATCTATTATGTGCCATGAACAGAGCTAGTACTGCAGTGAATAATTAAACTTAAGATTCTATTTTCTCATTCATTACTCTGAAATACCTCAGACAAAAGATAGAAATCTTGTTTCCTCATCTATAAAATAAATAAGGAGAACCTAAAGTCTAAAAACAGTAACATTCCTAAACATTAATAAGATATATGGGAAAATATCAACACTTAAAAGTGTATAAAATATGACTATCACCAAAACTGGTTTGTCTCAATGGATAGAGTGTTGGCTTGGGGACTGAAGAGTCCCAGGTTCGATTCCGGTCAAGGGCATGTACCTAGGTTGTGGGCATATCCCCAGTAGGGGGTGTGCAAGAGGCAGCTGATCAATGACTCTCTCTCATCGATGTTTCTAACTCTCTCCCTTCCTCTCTGTACAAAATCAATAAAATATATTTTTAAAATAATAAATAAATAAATAAATAAAATATGACTCGTGCAAGAAAACATATTCCTAAATATTAGGAATTAATTACCTGAGTAATCAAAGGTGTTTTAACTGATTTTTCCACATACCTCTGAAAATGATGACTATACAGCTGTGTTGGAATACCAAGAATACGATCATATATAGCTGTAACTTCTCTCAGGTTTCCCTGTTCATTCTCCCAGTTTATATACATTTCCCAAAGTCTGTCAGATCGGAAATCTGTTCCTGCAGCTAGAACAGCGTGTTCAAAAGTTCTGAAAAATTAAATTACCTTTAAATTATCTTTCTAAGATAAATGCATTTGCAAAATGTCTATACTTTGCAATATATACAAATATCAAATCATTTCGTTGTACACCTCAAAATGATATACAGTAGTTTCCCCTTATCTGCAGGGAATTAGATCCAAGACCCCCATTAGATGACTAAAACCAACAGTACCAATCCCTATCTATAAATTTTTTTCTATACATACATAACTCTAATAAAAGTTTAACATTACACAAAAATTAACAAATAATAGAACAATTATAATATATTGTAATAAAGTTATGAAAATGTGGTCTCTTAGCAAATTAGGACACATTTCTTTTTCCTTCTTAATTTCATGGATAGAAAATTTGCTCTTACCGTAGATTTTAGTGACCTCAGCATATGATTTAGTTTTCTTTCCTTATTAAGTCGACAACTTTCACCTTTCACTTAAAGGAAGTACTTTACAGCTTTTCCTTGGCATACCTGAATCACCAGAATCACTACTCTTGCACTTTGGGGCCAATATTAGGTAAAATAAGGGTTACTTGAACACAAGCACTGGACACTGTGCGACAGTCAATCTAATAACCTAGAGAGCTACTAAAGTACACAGTGTGGATATGATGGACAAATTATTGCCAACCTGGGCACACAAGAGCAGGAAGACACAAGATTTAATCACACTACTCAGAACAGCACACAATTGAAAACTTATGAATTGTTACTTCTGGAATTTTCCAATTAATATATTCAGACTATAGTTGTCTGCAGGAAACTGTGACAGTTAAAATCATGAATAACAGGGCTACTCTATCACAACATATGTCAATAAAACCTCAATTTTTAAAAAATTTAAAAATCAAGTAGATAATGCTAAACTCAAAATTATATTCAATTGCTTCCTATACAAATAGAGATTAAAATATAGAAGGAATTGCTCAGTTGGTGTGGAGTTCAGTGGTTGAGTCAACCTATGAACCAGGAGGTCAGAGTTTGATTCCCAGTCAGAGCACAAGCTTGGGTTGCAGGCTCATCCTCAGTAGGAGCTGTGCAAGAGGCAGCCAACAGATGATTATCATCTATGATGTTTCTATCCCTCTTTCCCTTCCTCTGAAATCAATAAAAACTTATTAAAAAGGAAAAAAAAAAAAAAAAGATAAGTAGTAATAAAGAAGTGTATGAGAGCAGCTTTAAGAAAGTGAGAAAAGCCTGGCCAATGTGGTTAAGTGGTTGAGAATCAACCTATGAACCAGGAGGTTACTGTTTGATTTGCAGTTGGGCATGTGCCAGTGTTGCAGGCTTGATCCTCAGTGGGGGCATGCAGGAGGCAGCCAATTGATGATTCTTCTCTTTCTCCCTCTCCCTTCCTCTCTGAAATCAATAAAATAAAAGTGAAAAAACATAAAGAGAATAAATAAATGTACTCTTATGTAATTTACCTTATGTAAACCTACAATGCAAAACATACACACTGTAAACATATATTTGTTAAACTTGAAATGCTTATTGAATAGATTCATTTAGAGCAGAAGACAGACACAATTATTATTAGTTTAAACTAGAGATCCAGTGCATGAAATTCGTGCGGGGGGTGGGGGGTGGGAGTGTGTTCCTCAGCCCAACCTGCACCCTCTCGAATCTGGGACCCCTTGAGGGATGTCCTGGTGGGATCAGCCCTAAAAGGGCAGTCAGATATCCCTCTCACAATCCAGGACTGTTGGCTCCCAATCACTTGCCTACCTCTGCCTGATTACTCCTAACCTCTACCACCTACCAGCCTGATCACCCCCTAACCACTCCACTGCCAGCCTGGTTGATGCCTAACTACTTCCCAGATGGCCCAATTGACCCTAACTGCTCTCCCCTGCAGTCCTGGTCACCCCCAACTGCCCTCCCCTGCAGGTCTGGTCACACCTAACTGCCCTCCCCTGCAGGTCATCTTGTGGCGGCCATCTTGTGACCACATGGGAGCAGCCATCTTGTTTCTTGGAGTGATGGTCAATTTGCATATTGCTCTTTTATTAGATAGGATAATAATTTTCTGGGAAAATAACTCCAACAAGGGATCCAGATGCCTTATATGGTAATGAGAAGTATACACATATTTTAAAACTTTCAAAAGTCTCTCCTGATTCTAAAATTCCACAATTACAGTATATTAAAAAAACATATTTTAAGTACCTAATCATGTCAAGAGATTTCTGCAATCAATGTTAAATCATTAGATTTGAAACTCAAATGAAATAAAACCATTAAATACATTTTCAATATAAATAATTTAGAATCAAGAGGGATTTTTTAAAATATATTTTACTGATTTTTTAGAGAGGAAGAGAGAGGGATAAAGAGTTAGAAACATCGATGAGAGAGAATAATCGATCAGTTGCCTCTTGCACAACTCCCACTGGGAATGTGCCCGCAACCAAGGTACATGCCCTTGACCAGAATCGAACCTGGGACCTCTCAGTCCACAGGCAGACGCGCTATCTACTGAGCCAAACCATTTTCGGCTAGAGGGATTTTTAAGAGTATAAAACTATACTACCTAAATTAATCTATAACTTTAACAAAATCCAAATCAAAGCTCTAACAAATTTTGGGTGAAAAGGAAAAACAAATTCTAGCATTCATCTGGAATACAAAAATGTAAAATATTTTGTGAAAGAACAATGCAGTTTTCCTGAAAGATATCAAAAGAAACTAACTAGGAAGCTATAATAATTAAAAGTATGACGACACTGGCTAGGAACAAAAAAATGGATCAACAGAACATATCAAAGTATATTTGAGAATTTAGTCGATGATAAAGGAGTATTTTTAGAATTAATGCAGAAAGGTTGGATTATTCAATAATTTTAAAAAAATAAAGGATTAATCTCTTTCACAAAGAACACAAACTAAATGCCAGATGAATGATTTTTAAAAACTATTTTAAAAATTAGAAGAAAATTCAATGTTTATATATTCTTGGCAAGATAGGCACAAAAATCAGAAACTAATAAAGGATTGAATATTGCCAAAGCTGGTTTGGCTCAGTGGATAGAGCGTCGGTCTGCGAACTGAAAGGTCCCAGGTTCAATTCCAGTCAAGGGCATGTACATTGGTTATGGACACATCCCCAGTAGGGGGTGTGCAGGAGGCAGGTGGTCAATGATTCTCTCTCATCGACGTTTCTAGCTCTCTATCCCTCCTTCCTTCCTCGCTGTGAAAAAATCAATAAAATATATTAAAAAAAAGAAAAAGAAAAAAGGAATAGGCCTTTCTTCTCCTGGCTTTACTCCCAAAGGCCCGGGAGCCCGAAAGTCCTAGCTTCTGCTGCAGCACCACTCCTGTACCTCCCTCTGCTGCCCCTTCCCTTCATAGCAGGCATCATGCTGCTCTGTGGCTGCATATGCAAATTAACCTCCATCTTTGTTGGGTTAATTTGCATACTCACTCTGACTGCCTGTGGGCATAGCTGAGTGAAGGTTAATTTGCATGTTTCTCTTTTATTAGATAAGGTATTTGTGTGTGAAGTTTGCAAGACAGTGAAATACATGTTATTGCCCCAACAAAAATGATCCAGTAAATCAATGCATCAGACACTAAGAAAGTGGAGGGAGTTGGGAGAGGAAGATGATAAAAAGGTAACAAAATAAAGACAATGTTTAGGTCTAATTAATAAATGGTAAGACACATTAAATCTGGTTTACTGCCCAGTTTGGGAATTCAAAAACTAGGTATACTTTCCCTGTAAGTTCAGGTTATCCTTCAATGAAAAAACTGCTTGACATAGGAATCCTATCTAATAAAGATAGAATATGCTAATTGACTATCACTCCATCACAAAGATGGCTGCATCCACAGCTGAGGCCAAGTTCCCTTAAGGAGCCTTAATGAGCAATCATCAGGGACCTGAGGCTACACCCTCCCCCGCCCCTGTGGGGGTTTGACAGGGGACCTCAGGCTGTGCCCCCTACCCAGCGGTGTTGGACAGGGACCTCAGGCCTCAGCGCCAGGCTGGGGGACCTCAGACCATGACCCCTGCACTGGTGCCAGGCCAGGGGACCTGAGACCATGCCCCCACCTAGCAGGGCTTGAAGGGGGACCTCAAGGTACACTTCCTGTCCTGATGCTGGGCTAGGGGACCTCAGGCTGCTCCCTTTGCCCCCGTGCCAGGCTGGGGGACTTCAGGCCATGCCCACACCCCAGCACTGGGCCAGGGGACTTGAGGCTGCACCCCTGTAGCTGGTGGGGCATGACAAGGAACCTCAGGCCGTGAAACCCACCCAGCAAGGCTTGACGGGGTCAAGGTACACCCCCAGTGGGGCTTGACAGGAGACCTGAGACTGTGCCCCCCGCCTGGTGAGGCTTGACAGGGGACCTCAGGCCACCCCCCATCCTGGCCTCTGGCCATGGGACCTGAGGCTAGACCCCTGTTCGGCAGGTCTTGACAAGGGTGAGACTGGCCAGGACTGGATCTAGCCTAATTGGGGGGTGGGGGAAGTGGGTCTGGGTCTCACATGATTTTGAGACACATGTGGGTGGGCGGGACTTGACTCTGGGTACCCCTATTAATGTGCACAAATTTTGTGCACCAGGCCACTAGTAAGCGATAAAGATACTGCCCTGGCCAATGTCTTTAGTTGTTAAGAGCATCAGCTCTGCACCAAAGGGTCACAGGTTTGATTCCCATCAAGGGCAACCCAAGTTCAATCCCCAACCCAAATCAGGTCAGGTTCAGGAGGCAACCAATTGATGTGTCTCTCACTTTGATGTGCTTTTTTCTTTTCTTCTTCTTCTCTCTCTACCCCTCCCTCAATTCCTCTCACTCTCCATAAAACACAATGGAAAAAATACACTCAAGTGAGAACCACAACAAAGAAATATAAAGATACCAACAGTGAAAGTCCAACAAAAACTGGGTGGCCACATGATCATTTTACTATTAAGCCATCCAAGCCAGCTAAAACTGGACCCCAATATAAAATACACAGAGCTTCTATTCAATTTATTAAAATCTAATCTTCAATATAAGCATAAATCCAGAAATTAGACATGACAGATTAAAAACAAACACAAAAAACTACACAGGAAACAATGCTAGGAGCAGCCATCAACTATTCTAATACCCTCAAAGAAATGATAAAAAGGAATGCAGCCATATAACAATAGGAGGGTATGAGACAAAGAACTCAGGGGAGGTTAAGGAGGTAGCTGATCAATGTTTCTCTTTCATGGATGTTCCTCTCTCTCAAAAAACAAAAACAAAAAAACAGCACAAACGTATTTTTTAAATAAATAAATATAAGTTTCCATGAGGCCCAGTGGTGGAGCATTGATTGATCCATGAACCAGAAGGTCACGGTTCAATTCCCTATCATAGTATATGTCCGGGTTGCGGGCTCAATCCCCAGTAGGGGGCATACAGGAAGCAGTTAATCAATATTCTCTTACTGATGTTTCTATCTATCACTCTCCCTTCCTGTTTCTCTAAAAAGTCAACAAAAACTTATTTAAAAAAATAAAAAAGCTTCTTTATGGAAAAACATGTTATATAAATATCAGAAGAATGGTATCATACTTATCAATAGCAACAGAAGAAGTTATAAGTGGGTCAAGAGATGCCTTCAAAACCCTAAGGAAAAATTACTTTCAATTCTATACCCCACTGGACCATTAATTTTGGTATTTCAGACATAAAAAAGGCTTAATTTCTTTTTTTTTTTTTAAACCCCAAGCATCCTTTATTGAGTAATAGGATGTTTTCTATAAAATGTGGGAACATAAACCAAGAAAGAGTAGGATCAAATAAACTTTTTTTAAAAATATTTTTTACTCGAGGCCCAGTGCACGGATTCGTACAACAGTGGGGTCCCTGGGCCTGGCCTGTGCCCTCTACCAATCTGGGATCCCTTGGGGGATGTCTGATAGCTGGTTATGGCCCAATCCAGATGGGAGGGAGCTCGATCCTGCATGCTGAGCATCTGTCCCCTAGTAGTCAGTGCACATCATAGCAACCAGTCATTTGGTTACATACACACACACACATTGATTTCAGTGAGTAAGGGAGAGAGAGAGAAAAATCAATGATGAGAGAAAATCACTGATTGGCTGCCTCCTGCATGCCCCCCACTGGGGATTGAGCCCACAACCCAGGCAGGTGTCCTTGACTAGAATCTAATCCAAGACTCTTCAGTCCCCAGGTTGACGCTCTATCCACTGAGCAAAAAAAGCTAAGGTCTAATAAACTCTTAATAAATTGAGCTAGAAACCCAGGAATGAGTAGACATATTCTAGAATCAGGATGACAAAGAAATCCAAAAATAACATCTGTATAACAGAAACAGAATAGAACAACAGGTCCACATTACAGAAGATCCCAGGTGGGACAGCTTAAAGAGAGAAGGGAAAAAATCGAATTTACAGATTTCAGAGTGTAATTCTCTTTTACAATTTTCATACTAAGTAGAATATTTTTTAAAATATATTTTTATTGATTTCAGAAAAGAAGGAAGAGGGAGAGATAGAAACATCAATGATGAGAATCACTGATCAGCTGCCTCCTGCATGACCCCACTGGGGATGAGCCCACAACCTACCAAGGTACATGCCCTTGACCAGAATCGAACCTGAGACCTTTCGGTCCGCAGGCTGAAGCTCTGGCCACTGAGCCAAACCAGCACGGGCTAAGTAGAATATCTTTAACTCCCAAAAATAACTTACAAAGTATTTGCACATTATGTAAAGTAGTATTTAGTACTGACTACTGAAAGTAGCTTTTGGAAGGGGTGAAAATTTTTAAATGTTCAAAGAAAACCAGCCAAGTTGAATAATAGGAAGGAACCAGTAATTATCGATAAATCCAGGTAAAATAAAAGGCTATGAAAGCTATCCAATTGGAAAGATGAAGAATGAAAAAATAATATAGAAGTAAACTAAAATTTTTGGTTAACATTACAAAATTATGTCTTCAGCAAATTAAGAAAGCACTACAATATCATACATGTTAAAAAATACCAGAAGGAACAGCTACAATATTTGAAGAGGGGTGTTTAGACTGCTTTTTATTATAAGCAGTTTAATACTGATTTTTTAAACATTTAAAAGTTCCTATAATTAATAAGAAAAACATAACCCAAAAGTAAAAGGAGTAAATGATATGAAGAGGCAATGTGAAAATGGCTTATCTATAATAATAAAAGCATAATATACAAATAGACCAAACGACAGAATGACCGTCTGGGAGACCTTCCAGATGACCACTCTATGACACCCACTGGCACCAAGCCAGCCAAGGTGGGTGTGATGCAATTGGTCAGGGTCTCAGCCATTGCCCCATGATCACCCTACAGAGGGAGGCCCAGGCCATCTGCTGGCATGGTGATCCATCAATTAGGGGACTCCATGATTGCCCCCAAGAGGGAGGCCCAGGCCACTTTCTGGAGGCTTGGTGGGCGGGGCCTTCCTCTGTGGGACACAATCGGTCTCCCAAAGAGGGAGGCCCAGGCTGGCCCGAGGCAGTGCTGCAGTGGGTAGGCAAGGCCTACCTCTTTGGATTATCCATTGAGGAGCGCTAGCCAGGTGGGCAGGGCCTACCTCTTTGGGGGGATTGATCACAGGGCTCCTGGAGTGAGAGGGCTGAGGGGGGACACACACAATGAACAAATTCATGCACCAGGCCTCTAGTATAAGGATATGAAAGATGGCAAACCAGGATAAACAATCTGGAGATAAGTAAACTAAAATAATGTGTTATCACCTAAGGATAAAGAAAAATGTGGCCGAAACCAGTATGGCTCAATGGTAGAGCATCGGTCTGCGGACTGAAAGGTCCCAGGTTCGATTCCAGTCAGGGGCATGTATGTTGGTTGCGGGCACATCCCCAGTAGGGGATGTGCAAGAGGCAGATGGTCGGTGTTTCTCTCTCATCGATGTTTCTAGCTTTCTATCTCTCTCCCTTCCTCTCTGTAAAAAATGAATAAAAATAAAAAAGAAAAAGAAATATGTGGTCTGCTATGGGAAATGACTACTCTCATACACTGTGGGAATTTAAAATATCACTTCTGAAGAAACATTTGATAGAATTTAACTCTGATAGAGTTCCAAATCTAGCATGCTCTACATACTAACTTGTATGAAGACCTTAACTAAAGCACTGATTGTTTCCTACGCATAAGAATTTGCTCAAATAAAATATAATGCCTGGACACTGTAAAATACTTTACAATAGTTAAAAAATTATGGCAGAAATTCCAAAACATTGTTAAAAAAAAAAAAAAAAGGACAATATGAACAAACATGTATAGCTGTGTGTATCTAAAAGAACACACACCAAGCCATCAACCACAAGAGGAGTGGAACTGGGAACATAAGGGAAATATAAAACAGAGAGGGAGCCCAGCCAGCATGGCCATGGTTGAGCATCTATAAATCAGAAGGTCAAGGTTTAATTCCTGGTAGAAATACATTTCCAGGCTGTGGACTCGATCCCCAGTAGGTGATGTACAGGAGGCAGCGGATCAGTGGTGCTCTCTCATCACTGATGTTTCTGTTTCTCTCTCCCTCCCTCTCCTTTCCTCTCTGAAATCAATAAAATATACCTTAAATAAATAATGGAAGGGGAATTATGTGGGGTTTTTTATATATAATCATGCATACATTTATTATATGTATTCTTTTTAAATAGAGAAATTATATGGAACTTAAACTTTGGGTTTAGCATTCACAAACAGTTCTATTATCATAAGAAAAACTAACTTATAATTTATATCTTTGAACATATGTGATTAACAGTTTCACATACCCTCTTATTGTACTGTTTGTCTCAGAATCCCCAGGATCCAATGTTTCTTTTAAGAAGTTTATATAATGTATCCAAAGGTCAACACTAAGAGGAATTGCCTGAAGCCCCCGTCGATACACCTAAGAAGAAAACAACAAAACTGTACTTCAAATATTTAATTATTTCTTAACAGAGAGGTAACACTGTGTTATCCGATGAACCTTAGAAATACTAATTACTGGAATTTTGTTTAAATAATCTACCATTACCATTTGGGTGGAGGTTGGATAGAACATGGCAATGTTCTGATCCCCACGTGCAGTCTTGATCTTCAAAGCGCAGCAGTCCCTGCATTCTGACCGGGTTGTGTGGGCAGGCTTTGGGTTACAGACCATAGGGCACAGACCCATTAGAGCACCAATGACAGCGTCTGACCAAAAATGCAATAAGACGTAGCAAATGTGACTAGCAAACCAACTATATTGTTTGGAAAATGAGAAATAAATGTAAGTGAGAGAAAAGCCCTGCCCTACTTGTTAAGCTGCAGTGTAATACAGAGGCTTGCACTGCAAAGCTTGACAAACTGTAGAGGTTTAACGCACCTGCCAACAAAGAGAGAAAATATTAGCTACAAATGCCACAAGAGTGACAAATGCAAATAAAATACCCTATAAAATTGTTTGACCACAAATCGTAGGTACTGCCAGCCAAAGAAAAAAAAAAGTCTTTGTTATTTGGCTTACAGTACCTAATGGAAATTATTTTATTCAGTGATGTACGCACCTCATCTGATTGTTTAATGTTGTCATGCCGCTTTTCAAGGTCTGCATACTTTTTCCAGTAACCATAGCAATACGGATAGTGTATGAAAAATTTGTCAAATGCTTTCCTGGCAGCCATCAAGTGATTCTGATGAAAATAAAATGAGGTGTTTAAATATCTTAGAAGTTTTTGTCACAAAAATATTATTCCTTTCAAATGTGTTATGTCAAATAAAAAAAATGGCAGGTTTAAAGACCACACAGAGCAGTATCTTTCCCTACAAATGCAATCTTATCCTTTGAAACAGAGGAACTAATTCTGTTAAACTACAAGGTAACCTTTATTTCACAGATTTTATCCAGATACACATGCACAGCACTTATTATGAACATGACTCTACTGACTTTTCACAACACACCAATGTGGTTTTTTTTTTTTTTTTTCCAATGTGGTTTTTCTTGAAGTTAAAAAAGTGTATATACCCAATGTGATGCAACTTAATCTGAAAATTATAAAAAAAGGCAACCTTAATTACAAAACAATAAGGCCCAGTCTAATAATGACTTGATTAATCTGTTCCTTTAATCCCATTTAAAAGTTACTAACCTCCTGTTCTACATACTGAAGCAAATATACCCAGCCTGTAAAATCCTGAGGATTATTTTCTACAGTTTTCCAAAACTTTTCATATTCTGGAGGGAAATTTGCTTCTGTTTCTGCCACTGGAAGGTCCACAGCATTGGCTATTTCATTTTCTTCTGTAGTTGCATTCACATTAGGAGATCCATCAGGTGACTGTTCCATTTCCGTAACATTCATAATTTCAGTACTGAAATCAGCAGACTGTTCTACCACTACCTCAGAACTATTGCCTGTGCTGCCATTACTAGAATTTCTGTACTCATCCATGTGAGAATTTTGCATAGCTGTTTATTTTGTCTTCAGTTATTGATCTGTAGAAACAAGAATAAAGAAAAACATTTTCCAAATGTTTACTTAGAATCATCAAAACCACTCCTTTTTAAAAATGATTTTAGAGAAGAAAAAAATAGAAACATTAATGTGAGCGCAAAACATCAATCAGCAACCTCCTGTGTGTTCTTACTGGGTATCAAACATGCAACAGAGCATTTGCCCTGACCAGAAATTGAACCAGCAACCTTTCAGTGCATGGGATGACAACCAACCAGGTGAAAAGCACCAGTCAGGGAAAAACCATCTTTTTATAAAACACTAGCTCTCATTAGCTATTAAAGAAATATAATAATTTTATTCTTGATATCTCTTATAACTCTTAATTAGGTTTATTAGTTTCTATATTATAAATGAAATTCTATAAATGCCAAAACCGGTTTGGCTCAGTGGATAGAGCGTCGGCCTGCGGACCCAAGAGTCCCAGGTTCGATTCCGATCAAGGGCATGTGTCTTGGTTGCAGGCGCATACCCAAGTAGGGAGTGTGCAGGAGGCAGCTGATCGATGTGTCTCTCTCATCGATATTTCTAACTCTCTATCCCTCTCCCTTCGTTCCTATAAAAGCCAATAAAAAAAATAAAAAAAATAAAAAATAAAATAAAATATTAAAAAAAAGAAAAAAGTGCCGAGACCGGTTTGGCTCAATGGATAGAGCGTCGGCTTGGGGACTGAAGGGTCCCGGGTTCGATTCCGGTCAAGGGCATGTACCTTGGTTGCGGGCATATCCCCAGTAGGGGTTGTGCAAGAGGCAGCTGATCGAGGACTCTCTCGCATCGATGTTTCTAACTCTCTATCTCTCCCTTCCTCTCTGTACAAAATCAATAAAATATATTTAAAAAAAAATAAAAATAGAAATTAAAAAAAAAAAAAGTAATTCTATAGCATAAATTTAAAAGGGTTTCCATTACTTTCCATCTGTTTTATTGTTGGGTATTTGAGTAAACACTAAATAACTAAGTACTTAGTTCCTCATTCCATAAAGCAAGTGAGGGTTTGTGCCTGCTCCCTAAAGAAGCAAACATATCTGAATTCAATGCTTGTTTCTTAGCTAAAATTATAAAATTCAATGTCTGAATACCATCTTGCTATGGTATTAACCCTGGAAAACAGCAATATCTTTAATATCTGTTTTGAAGGCTAAAGAGAAAATAGCAAAAATTCTGGTCATGGATATAAATGTTTTAGAGGGAAATTTATCACTTTGCTTAGGATAAAGTTTTAGAAAGGTTGAAATTTTTGAAATATATTAATATATTTGAAATGTATTAATACATTTACAATAAAATTTAAATCCTAGCACCTAGATTTAATTTTATTTTAGAAGTCATAAATGAAGGTATTAAAAAATTGTAAAAGCCCTGACCAGAGTAGCTCAGTTGGTTGGCATCATGTGCACCACAAGGTTACAGATTTGATTCCTGATCAGGGCACATGCCCGGGTTATGGGCTCAATATAGGGGATGTGCATGAGTCAGCAGATTGATGTTCCACTCTCAAATAGATGTTTCTCCCTCTTCCTTCTTCTCGCTCTAAAAATCAATAAAAACATATATACTATATATTTTTTAATTACAAGAGTAACTTCTACAGTGAATATTATGAAAAAACGTATTTGTAGCCAAAACCGGTTTGGCTCAGTGGTAGAGCATCGGCCTGCGGACTGAAAGGTCCCAGGTTCGATTCTGGTCAAGGATATATACATTGGTTGTGGGCACATCCCCAGTAGGGGGTGTGCAAGAGGCAGCTGGTTGATGTTTCTAGCTCTCTATCCCTCTCCTCCTCCTCTCTGTAAAAAAATCAATAAAATATATTAAAAACATATTTGTGTAAGTTCTATCATCTGGATAGTAATTATATAAAACTGAATTATATCATCTCATTGTTAAGGCCATAAAATAATAAGGGGTTAGTATATTTTTATGCTATAAGGCACACAATATATTTTCCTAATTCACATCATCTCTTCTAACAGTTTAAATGGGAAGTGGATCATTAAAGTAAAGGGCATGTCTCTTATTTTTTAAGTGAGGGATTATCATCAAAGTTAAATAAAATTAGTTTATTTAAAAAAAACAAACATATTTTTATTGATTTCAAAGAAGGAAAAAGGAGAGATAGAAACATAAATGATGAGATTCATAGGTCAACACTCAACCACTGAGCCATGACGGCAGGACAAGAATGATTTACTCTTAAAACATACTCAGAATATACAATTATTTAATGTTATTAAAAAGATGATTAAGACTTTAAATAGAGCAATTCAAAGAAAGAAATGCAAGTGACCAATAAGCATATAAAAGGATCACATCTTTTACTAACAAAGATGTAAATTAAAATATCAAATTGGCAATAATTAAAGACATCTTTCTAGAAGACAGTCAAGCAAAATGTAACAAATGGCAATTTTGCATATTTTATGTATGAAAATAATCAAACAAAAACATTTATCTTTTTAAGAACCTTCACTACAACACAGTATTACTGCAAAAAGAGGGAAGTATGAAGAGGAATGCTTTAGTAAATGGTATATTGAGGTATATAATGGAATAATCCTATTCTATACAATAAAAGCCTAGTGACCACAATGGCCTAACAACCATAGCTTGACCAGTTGCTATGAGGTGCACTGACCACCTCTCAGTCTCTCCCTCCACCTTCTGCCTGCAGGCTCCTATCGCTGGATGGGGAACAGGGAACTGGGGTGGGTGGCGTTAGGGCGGGACTGGGGACTGGCCAGCAGGCAGATGGCCCTGATGACAGGCTAGGCCTAGGGACCCTACCCGCGCACAATTTCGTGTACTAGGCCTCTAGTCTATAATAAAAGCATAACATACTAATTAGACTGAACAGCCAGAGTACCTTCCAGATGAAGACAGGGCTGTGAGGGTTGAGCCCCTTGCAAGAATTTTGTGCATCAGGCCTCTAATAAACAATAATTAAAAAGGAAATATGTATATCTGTGTTCATATAGAAAGATCTCCACTATGTATATACCATATTATATGCAACACATGTATCTGTAAGGATTTATACCAAATAAAATAAAACACAATAAAAATATTGGTGTTAATAGTTCTCCCTAAATAACTGGGCTGATGCTTTCTTCTTTTGGCTTATCTGGAATTATTTCATAGAAGTGAAAGGAGGAAAAAAAGGAGGATTTTGTTTTGTATTAAGAAAAGCTAGGGCGAAACCGGTTTGGCTCAGGGGTAGAGCGTCGGTCTGCAGACTGAAAGGTCCCAGGTTCGATTCCAGTCAAGGGCATGTACATTGGTTGCAGGCACATCCCCGGTAGGGGGTATGCAAGAGGCAGCTGGTCAATGTTTCTCTCTCATCAACGTTTCTAGCTCTCTCTTTCTCTCCCTTCATCTCTGTAAAAAAATCAATAAAATATATTTAAAAAAGAAAAAAAGAAAAGCTAGCTAAAGCATACCAATGGTCAGTGGGTAACTTGTGTGTGTGTGTGTGTGTGTGTGTTTGTGGAGGGGGGGAGAGGTTTTGGCAATTTTATGCCTACTTTAAAAATCTGGGTTTCACTATAGACTGTACAGAAATTCTTAAACACAGCTCCACACAATAGTCCCCTAGTAAGCTATTTCTTAAAAATGCAGATACCTTAGCCCCAAAGTCAATGATCTTGAGGTATAGGCTTAGGCTTAGGCTTAGAAAGCTGTTCTTCTATCAAGTTCTCTAAATAATTCAGAGGAACAGAAACTTATCCATGGGTAAACTCTGAATAAAACTGTTGGATCATGCCAAGACTGGTTTGGCTCAATGGATAGAGCGTCGGCTTGGGGACTGAAGGGTCCCGGGTTCGATTCCGGTCAAGGGCATGTACCTTGGTTGCGGGCATATCTTCAGTAGGGGGTGTGCAAGAGGCAGCTGATCGATGACTCTCTTGTCGATGTTTCTAACTATCTCTTTCCCTTCCTCTCTGTACAAAATCAATAAAATATAATAAAAAAAAGTCAAAAAAAAAAAACCACAAAACTGTTGGATCAAAGAATACATGTAGGGTGATGCTGAGGATTTATCTCTAGAAAAGTTGCATTAACCATTTGACAAGACACTTTTAGATGTTCATCCAATATCCTCCTCTCACTATCTTCCTAATAAAACATGGTTTTTGTTCTAGAGAGGCAAGATACCTAACCCTTTATAAGAGATGATACTGAACAGATGCCTGCTGCAGAGCCCTGAAGAGAAGATTTTGCTTTTCTGATTAAAAAAAGAGAGATACCGTCAAGCAGTATATATTCTACCACATTTTCTTACTTTGAATGTGAACATATGTGAAACAACTACGTACATAAAGGGAATGGCCAGAAAAATTAAGAAATCAAGATGTTAATAACACAGTGCCAGGTTCATACTATGAGAAAAAAAATTCCCTAGTTGTTTAATCGATTAGTAATTAACAAGTTGCACTCCTAACTGATTAACCCAATCACAATGCATGAGAATGTCCATTTCTTCTTTCCTTCTCAGAATCGAGCCCACAACTTAGGCATGTGCCCTTGACCTGAATCAAACTCAGGACCTTTCAATCTGCAGGTCAAGATCTATGCACCGAGCCAAACTGACTAGGGTAATCTTTCCCTTTTTCTTACACTCTCTCTAAAAATCAATGGAAAAATATCCTTGAATGAGGATT